ACTGATTAAAAGGGAGATGGCTGAGATAGCCCGGCTGAACCTACTCAGCCCCGCCAGCGTGTTCGCTGCAATCAGAAAGGCCCCAGTGGATGGAGCCCCCGCGCGCGGGCTCGTCGGTTGACTGGCCGAGCTCAGCAATGGCGGGCTCTGGAAACGCCAGCTCGAGCGTGCTTCGGCCGGCCTGGCTCCCTGAAAAAGCGTCGCTTGTGGCTCCCCCCCTCCGCCCTCTGGCATCTCCTTGTCTGCCTTTCGCCAGGCCCCCATGCGCCCCAGGAAGGGCCCGAATGCCTCGATGCGGGGGCCCGCCAATGGACTTCATCACGGCGTTGAAATTAATGATGGCGCCCCGATTCTGGGAGGACGTGGCCCCTGCGCGCCCGATGCGCATGGGCATTTCCGCGAGACCTTGGAGCTGCACATCTGCGGGTAGCTCGAGATGCCAAATTTGGGCGCCGTCCCGCGACTGGTCGGTCTGGCGACGAAATGGCATGATCGCTTTCCTGTGGGTCTGGGGGGCGATGGCTGGTAGCTCACACGCCGCGACTGGCCGCGATGGGCGCGGGTCGGGCGACGCCGGGAAGACCCCCCGACGGTCTGAAAACAAATCTGACTCGTCCTGGGCGATTATTGGCAGTCTTTTGTTTTAATTTCTCGGGGCTGCCAAGCGTCGCTGTCTCTCATCCGCCTGCGACGCAGTTCCGCATCTGGCGTCGTTATCGAGGCCCCCGCTGCTTCTAATGCGCATTGGATTGAGATGCCCCAGGGACTTTTCGTGACCATGCAGTGCAGTATTCTCGCCCTGGACACGTTCGTCCGCGCTGTCTGCCCTACCCCGTGGACGCCGCCCCCGCGGGCGCCTCGCGCGAGGGCCCCCAGGCGCCGCCGTGTAAAGCGGGGGCTGGCTTGCAACTCCCGGACCGCGCTGAACTGCAATGGCGCGCCAGAGAGGCAGGCATGCCAATCGAAACGAACACAGCGCGGGGGAGAGGTGACGCGCAAAGCTCGCTGAGCATCAAACCGATTGCCGCTGAGAAATCGAAGTGGACAAGCGCATAACTGCCAACTCACTCCGCGCCTGGACACGTCGGCCTCGTCTGACACCCGCGCTGCTTTCCAGGGCTGGCATCTGGCGCCTCGGGGCCTGATGGGGATGGGGGGGTCCGTCTGTTGCGCAAAAGGGGCCCCCAGATGGCGCGCGAGGGTGTCGCGCGCGGCGCCCGGGGCCGGGCTGCTCTGATCCCGGGAGATGTCCTTGCACGGGGCCCCCCGAAAGCGCCCCGCGGCTGCCTCAGCCCAGTGACAGCGCAGGCCCCCCCCCCCCCCCCCAACGGTCAAGAGGGCGCTGTGCGGGAATCTCTCTGGGCGCGGCGAGCCCGGGGACCCCGCGGCAGTGGAGAGACAGAGGGCAGCTCTTCAGAACCTGGACGGCGTTGACCGAATCCCGAAATCTGCTGGCGATGAAGAGCAGTCGAGGCGTTGACCTAAGGAACCCTAAATAAGGAGCGAGGCCCTTTCTTCCATAAGTTAAACATCGATTTCCAGCCGAAAACATAAGTGAAGCCGGAGGCAAGCTTTGAAACACTCAAGGAACGCGGAGCCCCTCCCCAACGAAAAGGGTTCCTCCTTCAGGGCCCCGACTGTAATCCAGCTTGGGCCGGCTCTGATTGGCGGAAGAAATAGGGCCTGGCGGATCGATGAGCGCCGAGCTAAAGCGGTCCAGGCTGATGGACTTCTGGATGGCTGCGCGCGGCGCGTGGATGCCTGCCGCTGCAATCGCTGGCGCGCGGAAGAAACTTTGGGCCCGCCCGGCGGCGGCCGGCAACTCGAACTTCGTCTTGTTTCGACCGGCCGGAAATTCAAGGTGGAGGGGCATGAGTACGAAACGAACGTGGGGTGTCTTGGGAGTTCGAGGACTATCGCTGCTGCGCGGCCTGAGGCGAGCGTGGGAAGCGGGGGGGGACGGATGCCGAAGTCGAAGCCCGTGCGGATCAGGGGCGCGCACCCTGCTGTAGGCTCGTAGAACATGCCGAGCGCTGCCTCCGCGACGATGAAGTGCCGGCCTGATGTGTGGCACCGCTGCTCCACATCAACAAGTCTGTCACATGTCCAACAAATCTCTCGATGGCAAATTGCCGGTACACTGGGATACTGCTGATACTCGGCAAGCGCGTTCCACTACTTGCAAAATAGCTACTCGCAAACGGCCTGGATCCGCCGCAGGTGGTTTACGATACGCTACATAGAGGAATCCATATGTTTCCCAGACGTTTGCGAGTAGGCACTTCGCGAGTAGTGGAACGCGCCCGGTGGGATAAGACAAAACTTGCGGCAGCCTCCCAACAGCTGCCCTTGATGGTACGATATACATGCCCCTGGTGTCGCCATTGCCCTGGCGGCTGGCCCTTGGTCGCCAACGTGCGCAACTTGGTGACTGCCCTGTTGGCCTCTTCGCACTTGCCTGCGAGCGCCTGGCCAGCTTTCCCAAGGGCATGGGCTGCGTCGGTAGAGCCACGCTTCTTGGGAATAGGTTGGCCCATCCAACCATCCAGCGGATTGTCGATATCCGATAGCGTCGGGCGCCCCCGCCCCTGATTGTTCCTGCTTGGGCCCTCCTGTCGGCGTAGGCGGTCCTGCCACTGGCGCCGATGGTCGTGGCTGAGGCGAAGGCCGAAGCTGAGGCTGAGGCTGAACCGCTGGCGGCCACGCGGCTGGTGGCTCGTCGGGCGGGCGAACGGCCGCCTGCAGAGAGTCTTCTCGACGTCGTCGGTCTGCTGCTGGAGTTTTAGTGGGGACGCCACTGGTGGGCCCAGCCTGGAGGAGGTCCAACAAGCTCGAGATCTGCGGGAAGTATTCGTTCTTGGGGTGGGAGGGCTGCTGGAGCACGGTGCGCAGGGCGATGGGGGAGCTGCGCCTCGAGCTGCCGCATCTCGGCGGTGCACTCTCCAGCGAGTCCACCTCGCCCGCCAGCTCCGAGACGTTGGCCACGTGCTCGTCGATCTGCTCCGAGCGCTTCCGGATGCGACCTTTGGTCTTGGCGACCTGGTCTCGCAGGGGCTGGGACTGCTGGTCCAGGGGCTTGTCCTGGAGGGCCTCGGCTTCCGCCTTCGTGAGACTGACGACGGCGTGGGCGCAACTCTCTCCGCGCGCGCCTTCCCCCTGCTTCCAGGAATGCGCCAAATCCTGAAAAGGCTGTTCCCCCCGAGTCGCGCTCCGGCGTGTATCCAAGGGGTACGGAGTTCCCTCCGAGTCGCGCAGGACGAAAGAGCTTGGCGCGTATCCAGAGGGAAGGCTGTTCCCGCTGGGCTGGTTGTGGTGTGCTCGGGGTGCTGCACCCATGGTTCCTTTTTGAGACGGGCCCATCTGTTCCGTGGAGCCCCTTGCGCGCCTGCCTTGGGGGTCGTTTTGAGCCTGGGACGAGGCTCCCTGGGGCTGCGGAAAGCGGGGGCCGCAGGAGGAGGAGGCGGAGGAGGAGGCGGAGGAGGAGGCGGAGGAGGAGGAGGAGGAGGAGGAGGAGAGCTTGGAGCAAAACTGGTACTTCCTGTCCAGGAAGAGCAGGCCTGATCATCCCGAGCGAGATCAGCACACGTAGGGTCTCCCATTGCCTGCCGCCGTGGTGTCGCGCCGCTCTTGCAGCACGCGACACAGAAAAGGATGGGAGCGAGCTGAATGGGCCGCCCGGGCCCATGCAGTGAGGGCCGAGAGAAGGATGCCGAGCAGCCAAGCTGTTCTGCCCGACGAGATCACCGGCATTCACGTTATTTCACCCGAAAACCTGCATCTTGAGCCAAAACTGCTGCGGGAGAGGAGGAGGAAGAGGAGGAGGAACAGGATGATGATGATGATGATGATGATGATGATGATGATGATGATGATGATGATGATGATGATGATGATGATGATGATGGTGAGGAGGAGGAGGAGGAGGAGGAGGAAGAGGAGGAGGAGGAGGAGCAGGAAGATCGGGGGAAGGCCGAAAGGAACTGACGCCGAACGCATCGGATCCGCATGTGTGGCCCGCGCTTGGGCCTGAGCGCCGGTGCGAAGCATGGGAGAAAAAAGCGCCGATCCCGAAGTGCGGCCCACGCTGCAGCAGGGCAGGGCCGAGGAGGTTCCGATCGAGAACGGCAGATGACACGTCGTACGCGAGGGAGGCGGCAGCGCGCCGGCACGCTGTCAGGAGACAGGAGAATAGCATCCTCATTTGGTAGTCGCCTCACAGGCTTGCACGCTGACAGCAGGACGGTCCGAAACTTTTGCTTCGCGTGTCATGGCGGCGGCCCCGGCGACATGCTCTGCCATGCGAGCGGGTAGCGTGTCGCTCTGCTCCGCGGGGCGGAAGGCTCGGAGAAGCCAGGGACGTTGACATTTGGGGACAAGGAAGTGGATAGCGTGTCGCGACGAGGCGAGGTGGGCCAGAACGCCAGAACTGGCGGAGCGACACGCTATCTAAAAGTTCCTGGCTGCATTCGCATTGAACAATTGTAGAAGGGCGGCGTGGGTTAGAGTGGATCGCGGCATCGTCCTCATAGTCACCCATTCTCCTTCCCCCCTCGCTGCCTCACTCACTTCGTCCCTCCCTCTCTTTACCGCCTGCCAGCTCGGCCGTACCAAGCCGCGCCTGCCTCCCCCCATCCTCCTGCGGCCTCGAACTCCGCAACGATTCGCCCCTGCGACGGAACATGAACGCCCGACACCAAGACTCTCCTCGTCCTTCTGCTCCGCTCCTCCCCGTGATCCTCCCCCCCCCGCCCACACCCGTCTCTACTTAGCCAGCAGCAGGGATGGGACGAGGAATGGGCTGTCCTTTTCGGGAATCCCGATCCTGCCGCCCAGCTAGGGCATCCATCCCCCTGGGAGGCTGCGGGCTTTTGCATCAGCGCGGCGGCGGCCCGGGTCGTGGAGGGAGCGCTCTGCGCCACGTTCTACGAGATACCCTTCTCTCCGCCCCTCCTCCTCCTTCCTCGTCCGTCTCCTCGCCCTCTTCCTCGCAGTGCCGCGGCCTGAGTGCGCGTACCTGGCGCACATGGGCCCGACGCCCGGCTTGTAGTCGAAGGCCCAGCCCCTGCCGTCGGCCAGCCGGAGGTACCTGGTCACGAAAAGGGGGCGGGGTCGCGGGAAACACCTCTGCTGAACATCAGCGGCCCCACGCCCTCGAAGTCATGGGGGCCAGGGAGAGGGGAGGAAGAAGGCGTTCCTCTCTCTCTCTCTCTCTCTCCCCCTCTCTGAGCTGAGGATACCTGCCTGCCACAGGGGAGACAAAGATGACAGGGATAGGGGTCGGAGGTAAGGAGGGATGCAGAGGAGAGGGAGGCGGAGGAGGAGGAAGCGGAGGAGGAGGAGAAGGAGGAAGAGGAGGAGGAGGAGGAGGAGGAGGAGGAGGGGGAGGAGGAGGAGGAGGGGGTTGTTGGAGGAGGAGGAGGAGGAGGAGGAGGAGGAGGAGGAGGATAGGGATGAGGAGAAGAGAGGAGGACAATAATGGTGAGGGCGAGGTGAAACACGCAGACCTAGAATGAGAGGGGAACAACTTATGAAAGGCAGGATGCGGATTGTAAGAGAAAACGTCGAGGAAGGGGGGGGAGGAACTGAGTGGGAGGCGGAGGAGGTTGAAGAGGATCTGGAGGATGACGAAGAGCGAAAGAGGTGACGGAGAATGATGATGAGGAGGAGGAGGAGGAGGAGGAGGAGGAGGAGCGTGTGTGAAAGGATGGAGGAGGAGCATCAGGAAGAGGAGCAGGATCATCGCGAGCTAACTGACGCAGCTGGAAACAGGAGCTTCTGGTCGTCGTCATCCCCGTCTTCAGCCGCACGGTGTTCATGCTCCTGCTCCTGGTCCTGCTTCTTCTCGTCCTCCTCCTTCTCCTCCTCTTCCTCTTCCTCTTGTTCCTCCTCCTCCACCTTCTCCTGTTCGTCAACCATCAACTGCGGCTCGCCAGCGGGACTCGCTCGCCCGCGAGGTATGATAGAAGTCCATGCGCCGTCTCCGCCTCCCCTCCTCTGCCTCGACGACGCTTTACTGTTGGCTCACCCCTCTCGGATACTGGCTACTGCACACAAGATCGAAAACGTTGCTTGTCTTTTTCGTGCGGTACCCGCTCGGAACGGCTCCGGCCGATCCAAATGGCGACGTCCGTGTCCTGAGGACCGCAGGCCAGGACAGCGGCCTCTGCATATCAACACGCAGCGGCGCAACTACCTCCCTTCCTTCACTGTTTGGCGTTGCTTGTAGCCCTGGGAGCCTGGTAGGGAAAACCCTCCTCGTACAGCGCAAGCAGTGGACAAGGAAACATTGGATAAGGACTCCAAGGTTTGGAAGCCGGTGGGACACCAATCCTCGACCATGTATATCACCGTTGCCCTCATCTGATCAAAAATCCTCCACGGCCTGAAGCCTCCTAGGCATACTCCTTCACGAAAGCCCCCCACCGTACTCCTCCGCCCCCAGTTGGTTCTGGGCAAAAAAAGTCTTTCGTAATAGGGCTACACAAGCACATGCAATAAATCATCCAGTGGCGCGAAGCGCGTGGCAGCCACGTGCTGATATTGCGCGACGTGCGCATCCCGCGAGATGGATTGCACGAAACATTGCGCACCTGTTCGTTACCCCATGTGCAAAAGAATCCTGAGCGCGAGTCTGACCCCGCTTGCCGAACCCCTCGCCGCCAGGCGGCCCAGAGCACCTGACCCCGCTGGGGCCCATGAGCTCCTCCGCCACCAGGAAACTGTCTCCTGCGACCCCACGGGCCAGCGTCGTCGCAGCTGCCCGTTGCGGGGCGCGCGCCGAAGCGGCGTCGCCGCCGTCGTCGACGACGACAACCACGACGTCGTTGTCGCCGCCGTTGTCGCCCGTCGTCGCCACCATCGCCGACATCTTCGAAATCACCGCCGTCGTCGTCGTCGTTGTCGTATTCGTCATCGTCGTCGTCGTCATCGTCAAGGCAGGAAGTGGGGGAGGAGGAGGAAGAAACCAACGGATAGGGAGGGGTGGTGGTGACCGTCCTCGTGCGGTGCGTCGCCACCGCCTCCACCGACGTCGTCTAGATCGCCGTCGTCGTCGTCGTCGAGGAGAGGAGAGGGAGGACGAGAAGGATGAGAAGGGGAGGGCGGGGGGCAGGACTGGAATAGGAGGGGGCGAGAAGGAGCAGGGGAAGCATCATCATCACCATCAGCAGCATCATCATCAACACCAGCATCAACAAGAGCAGCAACAGCAACAGCAGCACGAGAAGACCGGCTGGCCCGGGGAGTGGGTGGGGGTGAGGGGCGCGCTGGAGCCCGAGACCTGCGCTGCTGAACCCTTCTCGAAACAAGCGCGCAAACGGTCATGGACGCATTCAGACGCGTTTGCTTCCCCAACCCTCCTGCGTTGGGCGTTTTCGTTCGTCTACTGCACTGTGGTCGCGTCCCTCGTTCCCCCCTCCCCTTTTTTTGTTGGTAGTTTTTTGTTGTTTCTCTCTTTCTCTCTCGCACTCCTGCATGCTCATAGCTAGTTCAGCATAACCCATCTACCCCCCCCCCGCTTACTTCGGGGATGGACAGACCCCCCTTTAGCAAAACGTGTTCTAGTGAAAACGACCTGAGGCCCAAACCTGGCGGGCGCAAGCCTGGAAAATAACGGCCACGGCGCCCGCTCGAGAGCCGAAAACGGACAATTCACTAATCGACGAGTCACTGTTGGGGGTTCTGCCCCCCACCGCTTACTCTCTTAGCCCTGCACCCTGCGCCCTGCACCGCAGCGGAGCGCACGCCTTGACGCCCGCTGAGAGCACGCCCGGGAGCGCCCGCTGCACGCGGACTTGCGCGCGCCGCTCGGCGCGCCCGCGCGCCGGCAGCAGCCCGCGCTGGAGCTCGCGGTCGGCGGATGGTGCGCTCCCCTGCAGCAGGGACTCCTCCTCTGCAGCTGCGCCGGGCTCCTTCGAGGCAGCGTCGAGGATGTGACCCACGGCCGGGTGCCGAAGGGTTCCATCCGGCGAGCGGTGAGTCGCGGACGGATGGCCGAAGAGCTCAGCGTCGAAAGTAATAGCCTCTCACATGACCTCCCGCCCGTCCCTGTTGCGCCTCCTGAAGCCCAGCTCGAGCACGACCTGCTCGAGCAGCGCGGCGTACCAAGCGACGCGGCCGGTTCTTTCTTTCTTTCTTTCTTTTTGTTCTCTCTCTCTCTCTCTCTCTCTCCGAAACTGTAGCCACTTGAGTGACGCCCACGCGGACCGAAATGAGACCTCGCCATCCCTGGGGAGCTGGGATCGGCGGAACTGTCGCCACTTTCGAAGGGTGCCGGAGGCACCAGCGGAGTGACGCCCCACGCAGACCTGAACTAGACCTCGCCATCCCTGAGGCGGATGCGATCGGCGGAACTGTCGCCACTTTCGAGGGCTGGTGGGGGGGGTCCAGCGGAGTGACCCCCCACGCAGACCTGAATTAGACCTCGTGGACTCCTGGACATTCGCACGCTCGCCCTGGTGCTGACACGGGGGGGAGGGCCCTCCGCCCCCCCCTGGCGCTGGCAGTTCCCTGGGGCGGGCAGGAGGACGCAGCATCTCTTCGGGCAGGCAAGCAGGGCAACCCGCCCAACGCCCCGTCCTGACGTGCTCCGGGCGTGCACCGCGCGAAGCGCGAGGAATCGGTTGAGGATCTGTCCCCAGAGAGCCCCGCGGCACGGGCCCTGCGGAAACGCCACGGGCGGGCACACAGGGCACTCTGCAGGGGATGGAGGCCCTGGCCGGGCTTGCCCGCAGACCGCAAGACGCGGCGGCCGGGCCTCGTGGACGAGACGACGGCAGGACGCAAACAACTTCCGATGGAGGTGAATCGAGAGTCTCGGAGACCTTGCGGCTCTGGAACATGCATCGGGCGATGCGGCCGTTTCAGCGCGCTCGGGAAGGCTCTGAGAGCGTTCCAGATCGCTCTGGAGCGACGCATTTCCATCCTGGGCCTGCCCGAGTCGAGACTGCTCGACCCCGAGCCTTCTCGCGTCGTGGACCCTCAGAGCGGGAAGTTGCGTTGCGACGTGCTGCCTCCCAAGTGGGGCCCTTACGGGACCCCACTTGGGAGGCAGCACGTCGCAACGCAACTTCCCGCTCTGAGGGTCCACGACGCGAGAAGGCTCGGGGTCGAGCAGTCTCGACTCGGGCAGGCCCAGGATGGAAATGCGTCGCTCCAGAGCGATCTGGAACGCTCTCAGAGCCTTCCCGAGCGCGCTGTGAAACGGCCGCATCCCCGATGCATGTTCCAGAGCCGCAAGGTCTCCGAGACTCTCGATTCACCTCCATCGGAAGTTGTTTGCGTCCTGCCGTCGTCTCGTCCACGAGGCCGGCCGCCGCGTCTTGCGGGTCTGCGGGCAAGCCCGGCCAGGGCCTCCATCCCCTGCAGAGTGCCCTGTGTGCCCGCCCGTGGCGTTTCCGCAGGGCCCGTGCCGCGGGGCTCTCTGGGGACAGATCCTCAACCGATTCCTCGCGCTTCGCGCGGTGCACGCCCGGAGCACGTCAGGACGGGGCGTTGGGCGGGTTGCCCTGCTTGCCTGCCCGAAGAGATGCTGCGTCCTCCTGCCCGCCCCAGGGAACTGCCAGCGCCAGGGGGGGCGGAGGGCCCTCCCCCCCGTGTCAGCACCAGGGCGAGCGTGCGAATGTCCAGGAGTCCACGAGGTCTAATTCAGGTCTGACGTGGGGGGTCACTCCGCTGGACCCCCCCCACCAGCCCTCGAAAGTGGCGACAGTTCCGCCGATCGCATCCGCCTCAGGGATGGCGAGGTCTAGTTCAGGTCTGCGTGGGGCGTCACTCCGCTGGTGCCTCCGGCCACCCTTCGAAAGTGGCGACAGTTCGCCGATCCCAGCTCCCCAGGGATGGCGAGGTCTCATTCGGTCCGCGTGGGCGTCACTCAAGTGGCTACAGTTTCGGAGAGAGAGAGAGAGAGAGAGAGAACAAAAAGAAAGAAAGAAAGAAAGAACCGGCCGCGTCGCTTGGTACGCCGCGCTGCTCGAGCAGGTCGTGCTCGAGCTGGGCTTCAGGAGGCGCAACAGGGACGGGCGGGAGGTCATGTGAGAGGCTATTACTTTCGACGCTGAGCTCTTCGGCCATCCGTCCGCGACTCACCGCTCGCCGGATGGAACCCTTCGGCACCCGGCCGTGGGTCACATCCTCGACGCTGCCTCGAAGGAGCCCGGCGCAGCTGCAGAGGAGGAGTCCCTGCTGCAGGGGAGCGCACCATCCGCCGACCGCGAGCTCCAGCGCGGGCTGCTGCCGGCGCGCGGGCGCGCCGAGCGGCGCGCGCAAGTCCGCGTGCAGCGGGCGCTCCCGGGCGTGCTCTCAGCGGGCGTCAAGGCGTGCGCTCCGCTGCGGTGCAGGGCGCAGGGTGCAGGGCTAAGAGAGTAAGCGGTGGGGGGCAGAACCCCCAACAGTGACTCGTCGATTAGTGAATTGTCCGTTTTCGGCTCTCGAGCGGGCGCCGTGGCCGTTATTTTCCAGGCTTGCGCCCGCCAGGTTTGGGCCTCAGGTCGTTTTCACTAGAACACGTTTTGCTAAAGGGGGGTCTGTCCATCCCCGAAGTAAGCGGGGGGGGGGTAGATGGGTTATGCTGAACTAGCTATGAGCATGCAGGAGTGCGAGAGAGAAAGAGAGAAACAACAAAAAACTACCAACAAAAAAAGGGGAGGGGGGAACGAGGGACGCGACCACAGTGCAGTAGACGAACGAAAACGCCCAACGCAGGAGGGTTGGGGAAGCAAACGCGTCTGAATGCGTCCATGACCGTTTGCGCGCTTGTTTCGAGAAGGGTTCAGCAGCGCAGGTCTCGGGCTCCAGCGCGCCCCTCACCCCCACCCACTCCCCGGGCCAGCCGGTCTTCTCGTGCTGCTGTTGCTGTTGCTGCTCTTGTTGATGCTGGTGTTGATGATGATGCTGCTGATGGTGATGATGATGCTTCCCCTGCTCCTTCTCGCCCCCTCCTATTCCAGTCCTGCCCCCCGCCCTCCCCCCCTCCTATTCCAGTCCTGCCCCCCGCCCTCCCCATCTCATCCTTCTCGTCCTCCCTCTCCTCTCCTCGACGACGACGACGACGGCGATCTAGACGACGTCGGTGGAGGCGGTGGCGACGCACCGCACGAGGACGGTCACCACCACCCCTCCCTATCCGTTGGTTTCTTCCTCCTCCTCCCCCACTTCCTGCCTTGACGATGACGACGACGACGATGACGAATACGACAACGACGACGACGACGGCGGTGATTTCGAAGATGTCGGCGATGGTGGCGACGACGGGCGACAACGGCGGCGACAACGACGTCGTGGTTGTCGTCGTCGACGACGGCGGCGACGCCGCTTCGGCGCGCGCCCCGCAACGGGCAGCTGCGACGACGCTGGCCCGTGGGGTCGCAGGAGACAGTTTCCTGGTGGCGGAGGAGCTCATGGGCCCCAGCGGGGTCAGGTGCTCTGGGCCGCCTGGCGGCGAGGGGTTCGGCAAGCGGGGTCAGACTCGCGCTCAGGATTCTTTTGCACATGGGGTAACGAACAGGTGCGCAATGTTTCGTGCAATCCATCTCGCGGGATGCGCACGTCGCGCAATATCAGCACGTGGCTGCCACGCGCTTCGCGCCACTGGATGATTTATTGCATGTGCTTGTGTAGCCCTATTACGAAAGACTTTTTTTGCCCAGAACCAACTGGGGGCGGAGGAGTACGGTGGGGGGCTTTCGTGAAGGAGTATGCCTAGGAGGCTTCAGGCCGTGGAGGATTTTTGA